TTGCCAGTGGTAGGAATCGAACCTTGGCTTACTTGTTTGCAGAATACAAACAGCAACAAAATGGAAAAAATAAAAAAAATAAATATGTAATATACAATACAATATATAAAAATACAGAAGTAATATACAACACAATGTATAAAAATACAGAAGTATGCAAAACACATTACTTGATACTGATCCTGTTGGTACTTATGTGGAGGGAATAAATAATAATAATAAAGAAATGTTTAAACCAACATAATAAAACAGCAATTATTATAGTCAAACTTTGCTTACCATTTGATTTTTCTAATGTTTCTAAGAAGAAAAAATAAATTTATTAACAATAACAAAGAAAAAAACTATAGAATAGAGTATAGAATAACTAAAAACCTTAAAACTAAAAAAATGTTTAGTAATGTTTGCAGAAAACAAACAGCAACAAAATAAAGAGAAAAAAAAAATTAATTAAAACATATTATCACGTAATATTCATATCAATTTTAATTAAAACATATTATCACTTAATATTCATTTCTCTTTATATATCTAAAACAAATCAAAAACACTACCAACAACAATTAATCACAAAACAAAATAAAAAATCAACAGAACAAAATATTCACTTACTAAATTGTTGTAATATAAGACCAAAATAAAGGGTCAAAAAGTTAACTAAAATAAGCGAAAAGACCATAGAATAGACATTTTTTGGAAGTAAAATGTTATATATATATATATATATATATATATATATATATATATATATATATATATATATATATATATATATATATATATATATATATATATATAAAACCAAATACAACAAAAAAAATTGCTGACTTAGTTTGTCCATTACTTCCGCTAATCATAACAAAAAGTTATAATTTTTCAAAAATTGCAGATGGTGAAATATTAATAAATATATTTATATATATATATATTAATATAATATATATATATATATATATATATATATATATATATATATATATATATATATATATATATATATATATATATATATATATATATATATATATATATATATATATATATAATTTTCATAAAAAGGTAGCTTACATAAGGATGATTCTTTTACTCTGATCTCTTCAACATCTAATATATATTTACAAAATTTATTTGCTTTATATATTTATCTACTTTATATGAAAAAATATTTATTTATATTTTTATTTAGTTGAAAATGTTTCAATTTAATTGTTTGACATTTTCACGAAACTCAGTAAATAACAAAAATTTTCATTTTACTCCAAAGTTTAGCATTTAAAAGACTTGAAAGTTAATTTTAGCTTAAATACGTTTTATAAAATTATAGCTTAAACATGTTAAATAAAGCTTATACCGTTTTTAAAGTTCACTGCTTTACAAAAACATCAATCAAAATATATAATATAATAAACAAAAACTGAGTTTTGGGTCCATCCTTTTAAAGTCCTAACAACTATTTTATATATTATTAATTTTAGTTAAATTTTAGGGCGGAGGTGTGCTTGATTCATGGGGTTAGGGGAGGGCGACATATTTTGGTTGATTTTAATTAAAAAACAGCTAAAATAAATCATCATTTTATTCATATGTGAATCAAGTACACCTCTTCCAATTTAAGAACATATATAGTATATATAAGTAGATTACTTCAAAAAATTCTGAAACTTTGTAATGTATTCTCTTAATAAAATAATAAGCTAAATATCTCAGTATTATTGCATATCATCTCTTTTTATCTCTTTAATTAATTAATATTATATAAAATAAAAAAAATACTTTAACCTTCTGTATTTTGGCTGCTCATATCTAAAATATAATCTTAATGTTTATTCTTGGGTCAAAAACATATTAACTTCAAACATATTTATATGTTAATTTTAAATAAGGATTAATTTTTTAAATGAAGATTACAGTAATTAAACTTGTAGATGAAATTACTTATCGTCCCTTGTTGCTTTATGTTATAATTGATATGAAGAGAAAGAGACTACATGGCCGAGTTTTATTTGTTTTAAAGTACAGTTGGCGCACATATCATAATACAAAAATCAGGTGATTTTAAATCTAATAATTAAGCTGTTTTTATAACAGATTTGGTGGGTTTAATTAGATAACCGCAAGGTAGTTTTACAGTCATTTAAGAGTTGGCGTATATTTTGTAATACAAAAATCTCTTTTTCAGAAGTTTTTTTCTTCGGTACTTATTAGTACTCTTAACCAGTTAATTTTGAACAAAATTTCAGTTTATTTTCAGTTTTCTTTTTTTTTGCATCCGCAGCTTCTTAGGACTAATTACCTGAGCATATCATTAACTTAAGTATCTCAATCATGACACATACGCAACAAATTTTTTCTACCGGTAATGTTTTTTTTTATGTTTTATGAAATTTTAGCTTACTTTAAAATTTTTTTTTGTAAAAGTGTATAATATCGTTACTATATGATTGTATATAATCTCTATAAAACTTCAAAATTATTTTGTATTTTAAAATAATTGAAAAAATTAAAAAAAAAAGCTGCCATTGGTAGGAATTGAACCTCGGCTTACTTGTTCAGAAGCTCTGCACCTTATCCACTTGGCCACACTGGCACATACTCTAGCGAATATTTTTAAAACAATGTAATGATTTTTTTAAGAGAAAAAATGTTATAAATCATTACTTAATTTAAAGTTTACGTAAAACAAAGTGCTGCGACTCTTTCTCGCCATTACCTTGCTTGCAATGGCTACCAAGGGTACCGTGTCAAACAAGCTTGAATGCGCACTACTACTACTACTTCTACTTCTACTACTACTACTACTACTACTACTACTACTACTACTACTACTACTGCTACTACTACTATTACTACTACTACTACTACTACTACTGCTACTACTACTACTACTACTACTACTACTACTACTACTACTACTACTACTACTACTACTACTACTACTACTACTACTGCTACTACTACTACTACTACTGCTACTACTACTACTACTACTACTACTACTACTACTACTGCTACTACTACTACTACTACTACTACTACTACTACTACTACTACTACTGCTACTACTACTACTACTACTACTGCTACTACTACTACTACTACTACTACTACTAACACTATTAAGTTCGGCAATAATATATAATAGATATGCGTACATATGAGAATAATGTAATCTCTATATTTACAATACTCATTTAAAAGAAACATGAAATAGCTTAGTAAAATGATTGGAAAAAAATCAAGGTTTTTGAAGTTTCTGATTTTTTTCATATTGTTTAGGCTTTTCACAAAAATGAATCTCTTTTTAAAATAATAAGGGTTGTCTCTTATCACTTATTTCTTTTTACTGTTTAATATCGTCTCTTTTCTTTTGATTTGCTCTTTGATTACGGTTTTTATTTCAATTTCAAATGTATTAAAGTGTTACTGAAATATAAAACTATCAAGAGTTCTGATAAACCTTGTTGTAAAAAAAAAGGTAACTAAAGTTAAAGATGATTGAAATTTTAAAATAAATAATAACAATTTTAAAACTCTTTCCTTAACAATAAAGTAGTTGCATCATTCACACCCTTATAATCATAGTGTTTGCACATGTAATATTTAACTGTAGTTAAATTTTACATTTTACATTCTTTGGCTTCAAGTTTTTAATAATACTATTATCTGCTCTATGTAAAAATCTAGGTAGGGTAAACTCTGCAAGTTAGATTAAACTGTGTATTATACAATAAACAAGAAATAAAAGTAAATGGTTCAAACAAACAAAAAATTAACAAAGACTTTGGTATAGATTAAGTTTATTGAGATTTTTTTTATGAAGTATTTATGTTATGTATTCAAGTTTTTTTGTTATTAAATATTAATGGGTGTTCCCTCAAAATGGAGCTCCACAAAATACTTGGCATTATGTGCAAATGTTAATATAACAACATATGACTTTAAGTTTATGTAAACTAGACTATATGTAATTACAAAAAAAAAAAATATATTAATCAAAAATAATTTTTCTTTAGTTATAAAAATGAGCTCAAAAAAATTAGATGTAAAAAAACGCATGTACAAGTTCTACAAAATTATCATTACACAAGGAAAACTGTTTACTAATCATTTTAAAGCAGAAAATGTTTGGAAAACAACTCTATATTGTATAATTAAAGGATAAGAATGTGGATGGTATTACTTCAGTGTCCCCAAGAATGCTTCTCCAAACCTCAAGTACAAAAAAAAAAGCAAAGTTTGATAGCAAAGTATTAGTATGGCTTGGAATTTGTCCTAAAGGTATGACTAGACCGTTAATCAAGCAATCTGGCTATTCTGTTAACCAAAGTATGTGCAAAAAAGATTGCATTAAAAATATTTGGTTCCACTCATACGTAGAACAATATCCAGATGAGAATTATGTTTTTTGGCCTAACTTAACTAACTTAGACTTCGACTCATTATGCCAAAAAATGTCATTGCTTTTCTGGACGGTGAAAGTATCAATTATGTTCTTAAGAAAGATAATCATGCCAACTCTCAACTGCCAACTGAGATAAGACCAATCTAATACTTTTAGGGTTATTTGAACCCTAAAATAACCCTTATTTTAGATTATTTTAGATTTGCTGCTCAACTAAAAGAAGATTAAATACAGTTTGTCTCAACTAAAAGTAGATTAAATACAGTTCGTCTCAACTAAAAGTAGATTAAATACAGTTCGTCTCAACTAAAAGTAGATTAAATACAGTTCATCTCAAAGAATTACCAGAAAAGAATTGATTAACAATATTAAATGTACATTAGTCCAGCAAAATAATCTTAATTTGATTTTTTTCAAAAAAACATACTTAAATATTTTTTAAATGTTATACTGTAGTTCCATTTTTGAGGGAACACCCGTTATAAGAATAGTCTAGTTTAAAAATTTTTGAATTGATTTTTTTAGATCATTTTTTCTCAATTAAACCTAGATTTTTTTGCAACTAAAAAACTTGACTTTGGTAAATTTTGTCTTTTAGGAAAAAATGAATGGCACACAAAGTGAAATTGACCAATCAATTTCTTCCAAGCATCAATCAGTTAATCCAGGTATTAAAAACAAAATTTATGTTACCACTCTCCAAAAATTGATAACAATTTTTTATTGTTTTTGGAGAAAATAATAAAATTTTTTTATTATTTTCTCCATAATAAAAAAGCTATTAATTACTTTTTTTATCCAGAACTTTTAAACTTTCATACATAAACACTTACACATTTATAAGAACATTAAACACCTACACATTTATAAGAACATTAAACACCTACACATTTATAAGAACATTAAACACCTACACATTTATAAGAACATTAACATTTTAACTTTCAAACATAAACACCTACGCATTTATAAGAACATTAACATTTTAACTTTCATACATTTTACACATTTATGAGAACATTAACATTTTAACTTTCAAACATAAACACTTACACATTTATAAGAACATTAACATTTTAACTTTCAAACATAAACACTTACACATTTATAAGAACATTAACATTTTAACTTTCAAACATAAACACTTACACATTTATAAGAACATTAACATTTTAACTTTCATACATAAACACTTACACATTTATAAGAACATTAACATTTTAACTTTCAAACATAAACACTTACACATTTATAAGAACATTAACATTTTAACTTTCATACATAAACACTTACACATTTATAAGAACATTAACATTTTAACTTTCATACATAAACACTTACACATTTATAAGAACATTAACATTTTAACTTTCAAACATAAACACTTACACATTTATAAGAACATTAACATTTTAACTTTCATACATAAAAACTTACACATTTATAAGAACATTAACATTTAAACTTTCATACATAAACACTTACACATTTATAAGAACATTAAACACCTACACATTTATAAGAACATTAAACACCTACACATTTATAAGAACATTAAACACCTACACATTTATAAGAACATTAACATTTTAACTTTCAAACATAAACACCTACGCATTTATAAGAACATTAACATTTTAACTTTCATACATTTTACACATTTATGAGAACATTAACATTTTAACTTTCAAACATAAACACTTACACATTTATAAGAACATTAACATTTTAACTTTCAAACATAAACACTTACACATTTATAAGAACATTAACATTTTAACTTTCAAACATAAACACTTACACATTTATAAGAACATTAACATTTTAACTTTCATACATAAACACTTACACATTTATAAGAACATTAACATTTTAACTTTCAAACATAAACACTTACACATTTATAAGAACATTAACATTTTAACTTTCATACATAAACACTTACACATTTATAAGAACATTAACATTTTAACTTTCATACATAAACACTTACACATTTATAAGAACATTAACATTTTAACTTTCAAACATAAACACTTACACATTTATAAGAACATTAACATTTTAACTTTCATACATAAACACTTACACATTTATAAGAACATTAACATTTTAACTTTCATACATAAACACTTACACATTTATAAGAACATTAACATTTTAACTTTCATACATTTTACACATTTATGAGAACATTAAGATTTTAACTTTCAAACATAAGCACCTACACATTTATAAGAACATTAACATTTTAACTTTCAAACATAAACACCTACGCATTTATAAGAACATTAACATGTTAACTTTCAAACATAAACACCTACACATTTATAAGAACATTAACATTTTAACTTTCAAACATAAACACCTACACATTTATAAGAACATTAACATGTTAACTTTCAAACATAAACACCTACACATTTATAAGAACATTAACATTTTAACTTTCAAACATAAACACTTACACATTTATAAGAACATTAACATTTTAACTTTCATACATTTTACACATTTATGAGAACATTAAGATTTTAACTTTCAAACATAAGCACCTACACATTTATAAGAACATTAACATTTTAACTTTCAAACATAAACACCTACGCATTTATAAGAACATTAACATGTTAACTTTCAAACGTAAACACCTACACATTTATAAGAACATTAACATTTTAACTTTCATACATAAACACTTACACATTTATAAGAACATTAACATTTTAACTTTCATACATTTTACACATTTATGAGAACATTAACATTTTAACTTTCAAACATAAACACTTACACATTTATAAGAACATTAACATTTTAACTTTCAAACATAAACACTTACACATTTATAAGAACATTAACATTTTAACTTTCAAACATAAACACTTACACATTTATAAGAACATTAACATTTTAACTTTCATACATAAACACTTACACATTTATAAGAACATTAACATTTTAACTTTCAAACATAAACACTTACACATTTATAAGAACATTAACATTTTAACTTTCATACATAAACACTTACACATTTATAAGAACATTAACATTTTAACTTTCAAACATAAACACTTACACATTTATAAGAACATTAACATTTTAACTTTCATACATAAACACTTACACATTTATAAGAACATTAACATTTTAACTTTCATACATAAACACTTAGACATTTATAAGAACATTAACATTTTAACTTTCAAACATAAACACTTACACATTTATAAGAACATTAACATTTTAACTTTCATACATAAACACTTACACATTTATAAGAACATTAACATTTTAACTTTCATACATAAACACCTACACATTTATAAGAACATTAACATTTTAACTTTCATACATAAACACTTACACATTTATAAGAACATTAACATTTTAACTTTCATACATAAACACTTACACATTTATAAGAACATTAACATTTTAACTTTCATACATAAACACTTACACATTTATAAGAACATTAACATTTTAACTTTCATACATAAACACTTACACATTTATAAGAACATTAACATTTTAACTTTCATACATTTTACACATTTATGAGAACATTAAGATTTTAACTTTCAAACATAAGCACCTACACATTTATAAGAACATTAACATTTTAACTTTCAAACATAAACACCTACGCATTTATAAGAACATTAACATGTTAACTTTCAAACCTAAACACCTACACATTTATAAGAACATTAACATTTTAACTTTCAAACATAAACACCTACACATTTATAAGAACATTAACATGTTAACTTTCAAACATAAACACCTACACATTTATAAGAACATTAACATTTTAACTTTCAAACATAAACACTTACACATTTATAAGAACATTAACATTTTAACTTTCATACATTTTACACATTTATGAGAACATTAAGATTTTAACTTTCAAACATAAGCACCTACACATTTATAAGAACATTAACATTTTAACTTTCAAACATAAACACCTACGCATTTATAAGAACATTAACATGTTAACTTTCAAACGTAAACACCTACACATTTATAAGAACATTAACATTTTAACTTTCAAACATAAACACCTACACATTTGTAAGAACATTAACATTTTAACTTTCATACATTTTACACATTTATAAGAACATTAACATTTTAACTTTCAAACATAAACACCTACACATTTATAAGAACATTAACATTTTAACTTTCAAACATAAACACTTACACATTTATAAGAACATAAACATTTTAACTTTCAAACATCAACACCTACGCATTTATAAGAACATTAACATTTTAACTTTCATACATTTTACACATTTATAAGAACATTAACATTTTAACTTTCAAACATAAACACCTACACATTTATGAAAACATTAAGATTTTAACTTTCAAACATAAACACTTACACATTTATAAGAACATTAACATTTTAACTTTCAAACATAAACACTTACACATTTATAAGAACATTAACATTTTAACTTTCATACATAAACACTTACACATTTATAAGAACATTAACATTTTAACTTTCAAACATAAACACTTACACATTTATAAGAACATTAACATTTTAACTTTCATACATAAACACTTACACATTTATAAGAACATTAACATTTTAACTTTCATACATAAACACTTACACATTTATAAGAACATTAACATTTTAACTTTCAAACATAAACACTTACACATTTATAAGAACATTAACATTTTAACTTTCATACATAAACACTTACACATTTATAAGAACATTAACATTTTAACTTTCATACATAAACACTTACACATTTATAAGAACATTAACATTTTAACTTTCATACATAAACACTTACACATTTATAAGAACATTAACATTTTAACTTTCATACATAAACACCTACACATTTATAAGAACATTAACATTTTAACTTTCATACATAAACACTTACACATTTATAAGAACATTAACATTTTAACTTTCATACATAAACACTTACACATTTATAAGAACATTAACATTTTAACTTTCATACATAAACACTTACACATTTATAAGAACATTAACATTTTAACTTTCATACATAAACACTTACACATTTATAAGAACATTAACATTTTAACTTTCATACATAAACACTTACACATTTATAAGAACATTAACATTTTAACTTTCATACATAAACACTTACACATTTATAAGAACATTAACATTTTAACTTTCATACATTTTACACATTTATGAGAACATTAACATTTTAACTTTCAAACATAAACACTTACACATTTATAAGAACATTAACATTTTAACTTTCAAACATAAACACTTACACATTTATAAGAACATTAACATTTTAACTTTCAAACATAAACACTTACACATTTATAAGAACATTAACATTTTAACTTTCATACATAAACACTTACACATTTATAAGAACATTAACATTTTAACTTTCAAACATAAACACTTACACATTTATAAGAACATTAACATTTTAACTTTCATACATAAACACTTACACATTTATAAGAACATTAACATTTTAACTTTCAAACATAAACACTTACACATTTATAAGAACATTAACATTTTAACTTTCATACATAAACACTTACACATTTATAAGAACATTAACATTTTAACTTTCATACATAAACACTTACACATTTATAAGAACATTAA